GATCAACATCGACTTTTGACACTTGACGGACATGGAAATCATTTGACCCCGAAATTCGATGAACTTTGCTAAAAAACAACATCATTCCAATCTGTATGCCTGCACATTCATCTCATCTTTTACAGCCGCCTGATATTGGTTGTTTTGCGGTATTAAAACGCTCTTACGGTCAACTTGTTGAAAAGAAAATGCGTCTTGGCGTCAACCATATCGACAAACTTGATTTTCTTGAAGCATATCTAGTCGCACGACTTGAAGCTTTCAAATCAGAAACTAATCAAAACAGCTTTACAGCTGCTGGTTTAGTTCCTCTTTATCCAGATCGAGTGTTATCTAAGCTCAATATTCAACTTCGAACTCCGAATCCCCCATCTAGTCGAGGTAGTGAATGGGAGCCAAAAACACCGACAAATCACATTCAATTATTGAAACAAGCATCCTCAATCAAAGCATTATTACTTCGTCAAAGATCCCGAAGCCCGCCTAGTCCACTCAATTCAGCGATAAACCAGGGTTTGAAAGCTTGCCAAATGACGATGCAATCAGCAGCGATTCTTGAGAAAGAAGTTCACGATCTACGATCGGAAAACGAGAAAAAGAAGCAGAAAAAAACTCGATCTCGAAAGCAGATACCTGCTACAGAGGGCTTATCAGTTCAGGAAGCTACTGCTTTAATTGTGATTGTGCAACCAGAGGAAGTGATTTAACCTCCCCGCCCCCAGGTCCGCGCGCACAGGGAAGCAACTTTATTACCAAGAACAAGGGCATTACCGAAATGCGGTGCATGTGGAAATCAGGGCCATAGAAGAGATGCATGTCCAGATAGACCTAGAATTTAGCTGATTGAATTTGATGGAGTTTTGGCTGAAATAAATGCGTTTAAAATTAATAGGCTGGGTGGGGTGTCCAGCTCGCTTGGGAATTACGTTACAGAGGATCCTTCTATGGCGTAATCTTCTTTATTATATTCACCAGTATCAACTAGTCTCTGTGGTTCGGGGGTCGGGGTATTCGGGTCGAGGGCAGCGACAATCTCCTACTCAACGGATTCATCTTTAGGCAAATCAGCAACCGGCTGCTTACCACGGTTTGTCGGGTATCTCTTCGATCCGGCCATTCTGATTGGTCGAATATCGGGTTCGGGTTCGAGTCTAGGCTTATACGATGCCAAGGAACGGGAAGTGGGGGAAAGCTGGACCAAGACCAATCACAATGATGGTCTATACAGTCGTACTGCTTTGTTGGAAATAAGAGTGGTACTGTCAGGGTGCGGGCTGGCAAGACGGTATGATGGGAGATGGCTAGTAGGAACAGGTCATAACAGATCAGATTCCAATTGACAGGTACAGGCAGGAGCAGGCTATTATACAATACGTAGCTCGAAGAGCTACAACAGGATCTAGAACTGAAGTTCAGATAAACAGGTCGGAGATCACGTGCCGTGATCTTCCTCTTACTAAGCATCACGGTTCGCACCGTGACAGGTACTTAGTATTGTGTTACCAGCCAGTTCTTTAAGTAAAAGAGTGTATATTAACGAAAATGCTAAGTACAAAGGGGGAAAGAAAAAGAAAGGAAAGAATAGACTTCCGCAAAGCTCGAAAAGCTCGAAAAGCTCGAAAAGCCCGAAACCCGACCCGACTCGACCCTCAAAAGGGTCGGGTTTCGAGCTTTTCGAGCTTTGCGGAAGTCTACAACAGTCTACCCTATAAAGATTCACCACCTCCACAGTGGCGGTACTAGCGTATAAATTAGCATCGTATTTAATATGGTATTTTACAAATTGATACTACATTATTCTTTTAAAAAACAGAGTTCTCAACCTTTCAACTCTCCATTTCTCTCACATACAACATACAACAATTTCTCATATACAATACCACTACTATATACTACACTTAGTATTTAGTAGCACCCCCCTGAGCATCAATAACCGCCTGGCACCGAGCAGGCATACTCTCAATCAGCCCATTCAAGAAATCCTCCGGTACAGCATCCCAAGCATCACGAGCAACCCCTCGGAGTATAGTAGGCGTCATATACTGATCTCCATACTTCTCCTCTATCCAATATTTCATCCAATTCCATACTGATCCAATAGGATTCAAATCCGGTGAAAATACAGGCCACGCCATTATACAAACACCAAGCTCCTCAAAGTATTCAATTGTTTCTTTGGCAGAATACCCAGGCGCATTATCTTGCATAACAGTTGGGTTTCGATCCTTTCGAAGGCGAAAAAAACCCTCCATTAAAGGAGCAATATACGAGATATATAGCCTTCGGTATCAATCCAGCCCCATTCCTTCTCCTAAAAGAGGGACGGGCCTTTTTCAAGGCCTAAAAACGAAGCCCAAAACATCCATCCTCCACATTTCCGGCGTCGAGGTCGAAGGCAGTCAGGGTGCCTTTCTTCATCAGCTCGCTGAGTCACTCGTACCTTTCGGTGGTATTCAGGGGTTACCCAGGTCTCAGCAGTCCAGATTCGACACCAATCATCACGAGTCCAGTTAACGTGAGCTCGTGCCCAAGTGAGGCATCAAGGAGATTCTTCTCCTTTATATCAGGTCGACCAAGCGCGACACACCGGTTATATCCCCTAATAGCTAAGGTTCGTCGAAGTATATCAACAGAGATATTAAGAGATAGAATATTAATTAACTTCTCATACGAAAGCCGGCGATTGATCTCATTTGCAGTGAT